TTAGAAATAAATATATATCTGATGAGATTATAACCGTAAGATATATCGTGGTATTATCTATCTACCTTCTATATGAAATAGCTAACACAATTATTTTAGTATANAGTTTTGTATGCGTATTAGTAATGATTAAGCCTGTTAGCCAATTTATACTTGCATTCTACAACCGGAGTATTCAATTTTTAGAACTCATGAGATTTTAAAATGCACTGGAATTAACTTCAACTGTAGTCACTAGTATCTCTTCACGCGTTGCATGCATATTTCGTATACGTTCTTAATGAATATATTAGAAATAAATATATATCTCATGAGATTATAACTGTAGGATATATCGTGGTATTATTTATCCACCTTCTATATGAAATAGCTAACACAATCATTTTAGTATAAAATTAAACTAACATTAGCTGATACACACAACCAAATATAAAATAACTATAATTCCAAACTTTATAATAGCTAATATACTTATTGCGTTAGCCAAACGAGCCCTAATTAAGACCCTTCGTGAACAAAGTTAAGAAGCGTACTCTATATCCAACGTTATATGCATTCTTTAATTAGCTGACTTTTAATTTACTTACAGTTCATTGATTTCAAATGTTGAGAGTTGAGACCTCGAAGTTTCGATTCAATTAAGATAATCATTCAATTATTAAGCGACTTTATTAAACGCTGTATTCTTGAAGTACATCCTGAAAAGGAAAAAATGGCTTATTAGACAAGTTTACCATTTGATTGAATGGGATTAATTTTCATCCAATTTTGTGACCTTTAAGATATGTAATATGTGGGTTTTGGTCATTGGTATTATTTTACCTTATCTAATTCTATTGCATGATAAAATATTTATAAATTATAATTCAACAATCATATCATCATATCATACTATATTATAAGCGGGAACCCTAAAGAGAAAAGATAAAAGACCAAAAAGCCATAAAAATTTGAATGACAATTTTACCCTTAGTAAAAAATAAGAAGATCCTTCTATTAAATGTTGATTCCAGATGCATTTGAATCGGATAATTGGAGAATAAATTCTATCTTCCAGTAATAGATTCTTGGACTAATTATTATAGTATTTACATTGTAGCCTTTTCACATTCTCAGCTTATTTATTTTGTCCTTTGAGTTTCCACAGATAATAGCAATATTGTAGCCTTTTTCACATCTTTATTGCACTTTGCACTATATTAAAGTGCTCCACAAAAGTGTCAAATCACTTTATCCTTTTCTGCTTCTCCTTCTCAAAAATTCTCTTTTTCCCCAAAATTTACTGCCGTGTATTTTGCTCAACACCATCTTGAGAGGTAGTAATTTTATTTTTTTTGCTATTAGACCAATTCAATATTTGCTGACGTGTGAACCTCTCTATTCTATTTCATTTTATGCATAGGAGTAGGTCCTCTTTACAGTATATTAAAGGGCTTACGAAGTCAAGGCAGACACCATCATTTTTTTCTTTACACACATAGAATCTTGGCTCTATTAATTTTTCAATTGGTTAATGCCTAAAGGTTATACGACAGATTTTCTTAGTATCAGCTTGTTATAAAAGATGGTGTAGTGTGATGATTCATGTTAAATAGGAGTACCACAATTCATTTCGTACGTAGAATACAAAAGAATATAATATTTGGATACTTATTCTACTTAACTCAAACATTAAAAACGATATATTAGTATACGAGGTATTTGGAGTATCATAAAACAAGAAAATTGTCAACTTGAATATTTGATGTGTTAGAGGAACCGCATAAGAAAAAGGTTATACCAATTCAGTTGAGTCCTTACAGCTACCAATTGTGATAGCGAGCAATGATCAAGTCATTTGAATAGGCTTACTATTTATCAATTTTAGTTTGTACTTCCCTTTCAAATTTTAATTTCTCATTATTTATATGTTTTAATATTATCTATACTGTTTTAGAAGTCTTTAAAAATTAACATGGGACACATGTGCAATGCACGTATTCAAAAACTAGTAATACAAAAAGTATGACATATATCATAATATGCAAAGTAGCTGCAACGTCGTTACAACTCGAACATCAAAAATAATGTATTTGATGCGAAATCTTATATGTATTTCTCAAGGAGCAATGAATCATGAAAGAATTTCGACACTACAATTTGATATATTTTTTTTTAAAATACTCATTTTATTTAATATGCTTTCTATTTGAAAGAGAATTTAAATAAAAACATAATTCACAATTTAAATATGATTCTCTAGTATAATTTATTTCTAAGTTTCAACAAGTTAATAAAGTGATACATAATTCACCATACATACCATGACAACTAATTATTTTTAAATAGTTACTAGCTAATATTGAGCTTTTAAATTAATAAGTATTTGTATCTCGTAAACGTGAAAAAATAATATTTAGAAAACTAATTATAAAAAACATTATGACTATTACGTAATAAAGACATAACACAAGTTAATAAATAAATACTTTTAATGAAAGATTTAACTAAAATTTACTATCATAGTAGTCTTATATGGATAACATGCAATAATTTTTCTTTTAATTATGGTATAAAATACTCTCAACTTAATGATTTGTGATTAGGAAGAATGTAATTTTGAATAGTCAACGATTTATTAAGAAATCGAGGATTTACAAGGTTAGTTACACACAATTGCATAAAGTTTTATTAGGTGAGCCCAGTACGCTGGGCGTTGGGTGTATCCGAGGCGTAAGTCCCGACGGCCGAGATGTAAATCTCACGGAATAAAGCTACACACATAAGCCCGGGGCCGTTTTACGAGTGTTTCGCCCCAGAACGAACTCCGAACGAGTTCCAATTATGCCTTTTAAACCGGTGCTCCTAAGTGATCGATTAGAGTTAATTAAAGACTCAAAAAAAAAAAAATTGCTCCAAATAAAATGGCACGTTGACGGGGCAGAGATGGAGAGGAAAAGCGAAAAGAGATTATTTTGCCGAAAAGGTGAAAATGAAATCCTCAGTACCAGGTGTCTGCAAGCAAAGGACCAAAGAGGACAGTCAAGCGGCAGGAAATTAAAACCGAATCGTTGATCATCTCAACTCAACGGCTGCGATGCGTCTATGCCAGCTGTTGGCCTACGCGTGCAGACTTATATTTTGGGTATTGTGTGTGCGTGGGCTGCGCATTAAATTGGCAAGATTTTTGCTCATCAATTATTTTTTTTAACGAATTTTATTAGAACACTCCACTTTAATTAAAATTTTAACCTTTTTTTGGTCAATAATAATTAATTTTTTCAGGTATAAAAAAGAAATTAACTTTTTTTATCCAAAGTTGCTCTTAGAGTAAAGAGCCTAGGAGTAATTATTATATTTTCAATGAGCAAATTAAGGTTTATATGGTCATTTTTATTGCTAATTACTACTACTAAAATGTGAGTGAATTCCATAATATGTGTGAAAATAGTGTAAAAAATCAGTTAAAGTGAACCGGATAAAATAACTATTTTAATTAACTCAAGCTTTATTAGACAAGTTTACCATTTAAATTAAAGACAAAATTACTCTCATTGTCACTTGGCCCAACATTCTAACAAAATTGGGCCTATATTTTCCCTTCTTACCCGGTATGACCCAGTTTCTATAATGTTGAAAAATTATTTTCACCGATTAGCCATATCACTGTCCTCACTCTTTTTCTTTATGCGGAGGAATTTTTTCCATTCACAAATCAATTTTCTCTTTCAGATTTTCTCCCCACCCCTCTTTCTCTTTCATTTTCAATTCGCTCTTGCTCTCTCTCTCTCTTTCTCTCTCTCTCTCTCTCTCTTTCCCTTTCTCTTTCTCTTTCTCTGGCAAAATGGTCGAGTTCTTCTTCAGATTTCCTTGCTCCGTTCATCTGTATCTTCCTCTTCCCACAAATAACACCGTTGAACAATCCACACTGGATCTATCTTTTTGTAGTCTTTTTCTTTTCGATTCAGTGCTTGCCGAAGCCGATTCCGACTTTCACATTAGAGGATCCTTTTATTCCCGTTCGAAGAAAAAAGAAAATATTGAGTGGTTATTTCTTTTAATTCTTGTCTCTTATTCTAAGTTATGAAATCTCCTTTTTTGGTAATTTTTCCTCCTCCTCCTCCGCCTCCTCCTCTTCCTCCTCCTTCTCACTTTTAATGACTTCCGAAGGGAGGAAAAATGATGTATATGTTGTATATAACTATATACTTTGTATACTCATGTATAACCGTGTATATTTGTGTGTATTCTCATAGTTATACATGATTATACATAATTATAACTATGTATATTTGTGTGTATTCTCATAGTTATATAGAATTATACATGATTATACACAAGTATACAAGATTATACATAATTATATAACATAGATAATTGTAAAAAAATTGCATTCAGATAGTGTGTATTATTATTTATTTATATATAATTAACGTATGATTATGTATAACAATGTATATAAGGTGTTTAATAATGTAAATTTTTATTTTTTCTAGTGAAATAAGAATTTCCCTTACAAAACTTTGAATTTTGCAAAAAAAAAAATAAAAAAAAAATTATAGACTTTAAGGATGAATATATTTTTTACTTCAACTTCCTGATATTGTGAATTTTAGGAAATACTATACATAGGGAAGTAAAAAACAAATAAGAATGAAAATGAAAAAAAGGAACAGATATAAATGAAAGAAAAAAGCGAAATCTCATTTAGGCGTGAATATGGGTGTAGTTGATGAAGTTCGACAAAATTTGCGAGTTTGACTTGTTTTCATAAAATTGATTAATGTTAGTGGGCTACCGGATGAAAACCATATTTATGGGTTAGGCGAGTGAAAAGTGCTTTCTCCAAGTGTATTTTCATGTAAATTTACCATTTAAATTAAAAGCCTAACTAATTAATTTATTGCATGGTAAAATATACAACGACTCAAACATTTGTTTAAAATACTGTACTACTAATAAATTAAAATAAGCAACATACAAAATTAAATAAAAAGAAATATTTGAAGTAAAGACAAAAAGTGCTCCTCCGCAACTGATAACGTCCATTTTGATCAGTGGCAGTGTCATTTTGATCCGACTTCTTTTTGTACACTGTCATTTTGCCTTTTCCTCCATATTCTTACCTTCTTCCATTTTCTCTTCAAGCTTCCATTTTACAGTGCCATAGTCTTCCATGGCTTCCATTTTCTCTTCAAGTAGCTTTCATCTTGGTTTTAAGACCAAAAAAATGGCATGCAGCTACAAGATTGATAGTACTTGTGCATCTACTCATCAGTTCCCGCGGTTTTCGCTCCGCCGCGATGGTCCAATGGACTCCCCACTCAGAATGTTTGCTGCCAACCGAGCTTATTCAGATGTAGTTTTTTTCTTTCCCTTCGAGTGTGTGTGTTTGTGTTTTTTGTGTGTGTGTGTGTTGTGTTTTTTTTAATGTGTGTGTGTGTCTGTGTGGTGTGTGTGTATGGGAGGGGAGTGCTTTCCCAATCTTCAAATCCTTAATATAAAAAGAAACCCACGAGTGAAACTATAGAATTACTAACTAATTAGGAGTGGTGAAACACCATAAATATAAGATGGACAAAGTAGAAGGGTTTGTCAGCCAAGGTAAGGTTCCTTTCCTCTCTTTATCTATGAGCTCGTGTGAGCGTTCTAGAGATGTTTTCGGTAAGGAAAGGTGATTGGAAGCCGTAAGTCCAAGTTTTGTTAATCGTATTCATGAGTTGATTATTGGGATACTCTTTATGACATGGAGTTCTGGATTTGTTGTTTATATCATATGAGCGTCGTATGTTGGTTGTAGTTATGTGAAGAAGGAAGGGTGTGGTGAAACACCTTAGATATAAGGGCATTCCAAGCTTGTCGCAAGTCAAATGCGTGCTATATATATTGCTCATGTGGCCTGAGCAGCTTGTTGTGTGTAGCTGCTAATGTTAGCTTTAATTTATTATTCGCTGCGCTTTTAGATCTACAACTTGACGGAAGGATTAACTCTTCGCAATTCTTTAAGTCAAGAATTGAGGTATATAAGGCTAAATCCTCTTATTTGCCGCTATGGCATGACCTCCAAGTCTTATGTTTCTCTTGTATATACTTAAGGGTCCTAGATGATAAAAGTATATCGGGACGCTATATGTTCTTGAAAATCAGGATTATATGCACTTCTTTCAGATATTCATGTTGAGCTCTCAGGTCACCTTTTGTAGTGTATAGTTCCTCTACTCGAGATGAATCATGTCGAGTCTTCATGTTAATCGCATTATGAGGACGAGCTTTTCATAGATATTGCACTCACATGATTGTCGAGTCTTCCTTAGATAGCGTGCCCCTATTGTGTTGAGCTTTCCATAAGTGTTGTTCTCTTCTTGTTGTCGAGCCTTATATAGAGATTATATTCCTTCTATTGTGGAGCTTTGTATAGATATTAATTATGCCACCATCATGTCGAGCCTTCCATAGATATCATGGTCCCGTTGTTATCAAGCCCCTTTCAGATAGTATGATCCTCTTGTGGTTAAGCTTTGTGTAGGTGTTGTGTGCCGTCATGTTGAGCTTTTCATAAGCTAGCCGTGGAGCATCTGACTGTTGTGCTTTGGCGCGATCATGGATGGGTCGCTAGAGAGTACATAGCTCAGATAAAAAAACCGGGTCGAAGGACTCGAGTTGGTTAAAAACTACTCCTAGAATAACTGGTATTAACACTGAGATGAAAAGAGGGGTAGGTCAAGAACTGGAAACAGTTCTTATGGTAGAAGAAGAAGAAGTTGGGCTTGACTAGTGTGACTGCAAGTTGATAGCAGATTTGCTCAGTTATGCAAGCAGATTAGGATTAACATTGAGAAATTAACAATATACACAGTTCATCAGCAATCTGAGAGTATTAGTTGACTCTTCCTAGTTGGTAGCACTTAGCTTTCCTATATCATTATTATACTTCATTTGTTTCGACCAATGTAGTATATTTTACTAAACATGTGAGACTATGTTAAAACTTTTAGGAACATGAACATCCATGCTATGCGCTCAGGATTATATATGCACTTCTTTCATATATTCATGCTCCTAGTTTTGAGCTCTCAGGTCACAGACCTTTTATACTGTATAGTTCCTCTACTCGAGATGAATCATATCAACGTCTTCATGTTATTCACATTATGAGCACAAGCTCTTCATAGATGCTGTACTCACATGATTGTTGAGTCATCCTTGGATAGCATGCCCCATTGTGTTTAGCTTTCCATGAGTGTTGTGCTCTTCCTGTTGTCGAGCCTTCCATGGATATCATGCTCCCATTGTTACCGAGCCCCTTTCAGGTAGTATGCTCCTCTTGTGGTTAAGCTTTGCGTAGGTGTTGTGTGCCTGTCATGTTGAGCTTTTCATAAGCTAGTATGCTCCCACGTGTTAAGCATTTCATTTAAAGTATGCTCCTATTTGAGATGGTGGAGGTCCAAGTAATAGCATGGCCACATTGCATAGAAGACTAAGAACCTGTGGAATTACTAACTAATGCACCTCTATGACTTGATCCAAGTAATACCATGACCAGCCACCTCTATTTTGAGAAAAAGAGCTGAGTAAGAAGTGTTGAGAGGTTGAGCAGCCATGAGCACGAAACAAGAAAGGAAATGTAGGAGCAGAGTCTAGAACAAGCCAACAACATTGTAATGTGATAGGAGATTGACAATAGAAGGATATAGATTTACTTGCTGCATTTAATTAGTATGAGACAACAATACTGAAGAAGCAGAGTTAATGAAATAGAAATAACAAAAGGGCAGATATGATTAATGAATTATATTTGGTGATAAAGTATATGACGGAAGCAGGAACCAATATGGAGAATGGAGAAACAAGGGAAGTGGTTGGCCAGATAATTTATATAAGGGATGTCGAATACTATCTGATACCATGTTAATAAACAATCTGCACACCTTCTACATTGCTATTTATAAGATGATACCGAGTACAATAACTTGGTTAAATTGTGTTTGTCATAATAATCTACCTCTACAATGAGATAACAATAAGACTCCTACTCGTTATCTAATTACACTAAGATAGAGTCGATACTTCTATTCTTTGTCTAATTACTAGATAAACTATTACTGTATAATACATTAACAGTAGTTCAATTCATTGTTGAATGTTTATTTGTTTCTTTTTTTTAGGATCACTCTTCAGTTTGCTTGACTATAGGTTTTTTGTTCTATTCACAGGCTGCTGATTCTGCTCCAGAGAATTTAGATGAGAAGACCCCTTACATTCCCATATATGTCATGCTACCGGTGAGTTGTTATTGCCGTAGCCCTCTCATTGAATCATATCTTGATATTTAATCTTTCAAATTATCTAGAAACAACTAACCATTTTTACTTTGACTTGACAGTTGGGCATCATAAACATGGAAGGTGAGTTAGTGGATGCCGACAATCTCTTCAACCAACTAAAAATGTTGAAATCATCCAATGTTGATGGCGTCATGGTCGACTGCTGGTGGGGGATCGTAGAGAGGCGTGCTCCTAAGGAATACAATTGGAGTGGCTACAAAAAGCTTTTTGAGATTGTTCGAGATCTTGGTCTTAAACTACAGGTTTAGCTTTTTATGTTCCGGGTTCTATGCTTTTGTATTCTTGTCAGTGATGAAAACTTCACTCGGTGGTCTTACATTCTAAGAAAAAATTCAGGTGGTTATGTCCTTCCACGAGTGTGGAGGCAATGTGGGAGACGATATTCATATTCCGATTCCTCAATGGGTTCAAGAAATTGGTTACGAGAACCCTGACATATATTTTACGGATAAAGAAGGCCGAAGAAACCATGAGTGCCTTTCTTGGGGTATTGATGCAGAAATGGTCTTAAATGGGAGAACTCCACTTGAGGTAATCCATTTACAATTGCACGACTCTTGGTGTTCAATTCTTAAATTTCATGAGGGGGAGGGGACGAAATCTCTTGTCTGATGAAGAGGCATGTAATTTGAGTGGTTTGAGATAAGAATTAACAATTTTTAGTCCATAATGCCTTTCTATAGTTGACCTTAATCTCTTTTCTATGCTTATTTAAGAGTAAGTCATATTTTCAGATCCTCCTTTACCATATAAAGAAATCAGCTAAGACTAATAGTAATATTGGCCTCGCAGAGTTCTCTGTATCTTCTCAAATGCATAAAATTATGAACGTTAGCTCATTTATAGGTGCACTATCAACTAGAATCCTAAAATAATAAGACTGGTAATTATGTATATACAACCTGCTGGAACAAATGCAAGATTTTAGCTTTTGTAACCACCTTCTTGTTTGCGACATTGAATTGTTTCTTAGCTATTTCTTTTCAGCAGTCAAGTCATACATTTACTAGTACTGAAGCATACATTTAGAATGCAGCATTCAATGTAATAGCAGTTGTTTTCCTCCATCACTCTTATTATAGTCAATCCATACATTGCCTTGACAGAAGGTTCTGAAACTAATACTATGTTACCTTTGCATCACTCTTATTATAGTGTAATAGAGGTTGTTACCTTTGCATCACTCTTATCATAGTGTAATACAGGTTGTTACCTTTGCACCACTTGGTAACACTATCACTAGCTTGAAAAATTGTTCGCACTCCAAAAACAAATGATGTTTCATGGTGTATCATTTTAATTATTAATCTGCTCATACAGGTTTACTCTGATTATATGAGAAGCTTCCGCCTCGAATTCGATGACTTCTTTGCTAGACGAGTTATCTCAGAAATAGAGATAGGACTTGGTCCATGTGGAGAACTCCGATACCCTTCGTATCCGGCAAAATTCGGGTGGGAGTATCCCGGAATTGGGGAATTTCAGGTAGCTTTAACCATTTAGATGGTGAAACAGTTACTTATCTACCCTTATAATCTAGCTTAATGTATTATTGATCCTGTATAACTTTCATAACAGTGTTATGACAAGTACTTGATCAAGAGCCTCCAAAAGGCAGCAGAGGCATGGGGAAATTCAGCTTGGGGTAAAGCACCCGAGAATGCAGGTTCTTATAACTCAAAACCACAAGAAACTGGGTTTTTTTGTGATTTTGGAGAGTACAATGGATTTTATGGTAGGTTCTTCTTGCACTGGTACTCGCAAATTTTAATCAATCATGGCGATCGAGTACTTGGCTTGGCAGCTTTGGCATTTAAGGGCACTCCAATAGCAGCAAAGGTAGGAAAATGTAAATGATGTTCCTTTAAATGCTAGACATATTCATAGAATCATAAATTGCTTATTTAAATTGATTTTGGTTCCTGGTGCACTCTAATTGATGTGCAGGTATCAGGAATTCATTGGTGGTACAACACTAAAAGCCATGCAGCTGAACTAACAGCTGGCTTTTACAACAGTGGCAATTTTACTGGCTATTCTGCAATTGTGTCAATGTTAAAGAAGCATGGGGCAGCTTTGAATTTTACATGTCTCGAATTGCGCACGGTTGATCAGGAACGGGAATTTCCAGAAGCATTATCTGACCCGGAAGGATTAGTTTGGGAGGTAAATGTTATTCTCTGATGTAAATGAATTATGCAAAGCTCAATCACTATTATTTTTTAGTCTGAATTTTGGTGGTTAAACATTCTCAACCCTTTACATTTTGCAAAAAGTGTTAGTAAATATATATGCTTGTGCTTATATGATGAACAAGTTATTCTAAATTGTTTTGCAAGAGGTTGTGAGTTAGTCTCTCCAAGAGCAAGGTGGGGAGTTCTTGGAGGGAAGGATGCCGAGGGTCTATTTGGAAACAACCTCTCTACCCCAGGGTAGGGGTAAGGTCTGCGTACACACTACCCTCCCCAGACCCCACTAAGTGGGATTATACTGGGTTGTTGTTGTTGTTTGTTTGATCCTGATTGAAGGAAAAACCCACCTGCCCATTCGCACATGACCTCTAGCTTCCTTAGGTAAATCAGCTTCATTTAGGTGAACGTTGGGTGGTCCAAAGAGTGACGCCTTTTAGCTAAACAGTCAATAAACCCTGTTAGTCTCCTTATAACACTGGTTGAGAGTTTTATATCAAAATTACTGCTCAACTCCTTGATCTTGGTCGGCACTGTTTAAATTTGCCAGAAGGCTACTGTCATCAGCATTCAGCTTAGAGACAGGGTATTTAGCTCTCCCATAGGTCTTTGGTGACCTGTTTCCTTAGCTGAAACCTTCGAGTTATGGTACAAATCTGAGTCCAATTCTGTTGCCACTCAATCTCTGGAAGCCATAGCTGTAAGATGTGCACCATAGTATCAACAACCTGGAATTTGAGCGCCCCATAGTACTCGCACACTTGGTAGAACATGTGTGTACCCATAATTTCCAGCACACTAGAAGAATAAATTAGCCTCCACATCTCATTCTTGTGCTCCTGTGACCACCATTTAATGACTTGATGTCTATGTGTAAGTGCAGTACCCTGTACTCCCAAAGGAGAATAAAAGTGTGACCACACTTTCTTTGCCCTTTCTCCAGTCAGAAGAATAAATTCTTATGATTCACCGCCTATAGTATTATAACAGTAGCATTTTGAAGAAAAAGTGTATCCCGTATTTGTTAGCTTATCATCGATAGGTAGGTCATTTTTCATAGCTATCCTAAACATAAATGATTTGAAGGGGATTCTTCAGTGCCAAATCATCTTGTTTGTGAAAGAAGGGCCTCTGAGTTGTCTGATCATCTTCCAAGCAGAAGAGCAGGTAAAATTAGTAACCTGCCTGAGTACTTCAAATACCTTTGACAGAAAATTAGTTGATAGAGAGTCTGTTGTAGTATTTCCTAATCCCAGCTGTCGTCTTTAATGAACTGTGATGCCGTTGCTTTGTTCGGCACAATACCATCAGGTATCATATTTGCAATTGCTCCACAGCCTGTCTGATTGTCCCACCAAAAGGATACCTCTCCTTGTTTATTCTCCATAGCAAATGCTCCTCTGCCTCATACTTGTTTTCAAACATTTTCTTCCACATCTGCGAGTGGCCTCCTTCCAATTACCTTGTAACTGAATGTGATCCCTGACAATATCTAGCTTTTAGAAAATCACCCCACTGATTGTTTTTTTATTTTACTTTAAGGATCGATCATTACATCGCTATCGTTGCATTGCTAATCTCCCCTATTCTTCTGAATCACAGGTGCTAAATGCTGCATGGGAAGTCAAGATACCAGTTGCGGGTGAGAATGCACTGCCGTGTTACCATAGGGAAGGTTACAACAAGATTTTGCAAATTGCCAAGCCTATGAATGATCCATTTGGCAGACACTACTTATCTGCCTTTACCTACCTCAGGCTTAGCCCAACTCTACTGGAGAAACACAACTTCATAGAGTTTGAAAGATTTGTACAAAAGATGCATGATAAGTAGAAGCATTGAGGATTTACTGAAAGTTTAATGTGCAACTATCCGGAAGAAGATGTTAAAAAATTAGACAGATTTGTTTTGTGTAGACAGCCATCTTGTTTGACTACTCTGCTTTGTATGTAGAGATACTTGTTCTAGAGTTGCACTTCATGTAGTCTTAAGTTTTCTAATATTAGTATTAGAATGGTATTTGGCAGACGTTTTTAAGGCGGTCTTTCTTGACATGAATACTTATTGATATTGATTGGTAGTTTACCTCCATTATGTGCTCCATATTTTTGTTTATGATAGTATTGGGTTCAATAGCTGATGCGGGAATTATGACTAGTCATATAAATAAGGGAGGCGAAGGCTTGCTTGGGCTAGTCCTTACACGCCGATCACGGTGTGGAAGGGGTCGTGACAATCTGCATTTTCGTTTTCTTTTGTATATTTGTTTTTGAAAATACATACTAAAGAGGTAAGAAATACATACTTTAGACCATAGGCCTTTCGACTCAGAAATTGATTTAGTTTCATCAAAAGACCTCATACTATGTTAGTGTGCGCTTGACCCAATTAAAATTTTGAAAGAGGGAAGAAAAAATACATGAATTTCTAAAGAAAAAGCACTTTAATGAAAAGTTTACTTGTTTTTATCACGATTAAAGCAAATCATCCGCTACTTTTTCGATGAGTTTAATCCGCTACTTTTTCGATGAGATCACCAAAATGACCATTACTTCTATTCTTGCTTTTATAGTAACTAGTTTCTGAACACGTGTAAACTATAAAAATCATATTGTAGTGTAACAGTGAAAAATTTGAAGTAGAAAAGTGCAAGTCGAAATTGATGAACAGGTCTATTAGAATGACTACATTATAAAATTGCGTAGATATTATTGAAAAGTATTTTTGAGTTGTAAAACAAAAATTAAAGAAAAAAGTAAAATTATCTAATATCGGATATGATTGTTACTTTCTTGCCCTGCCCACTCCTAACTCAAAAATGAAATATCCTTGCCTTTATTTGATTTAGAAGTTGAGACAAAAATAGTGTAATGTACTAACTCGTATTCATATTGTTCGTAACGTTATTTTATTCATTTTATGACCTTTATACTTCTACAAGGAAACAACATGAAAAGTCAAGCTTTAACGTTGCAAGCTTGCACAACTCTCACGACCTGGATTTCCTACCATCAGGAGTCGTAATGGCGCCTACTCATATAGAAAATTCAATCTCTTTCATTTTAATCCTTTTAACAACTTAAACTAACAAGTAATCAACATTTAAATAATAGTGAAAGATGAACTTAAGCGGAAGACTTAGACTAATATAATACCAAAATCAGTACGAAAATGCCAACATACGTCTCTACCCAGAAACTGGTGTTACAACATCCACGGACTGTCTATGAATACTACACAAAAATATCTGAACAAGGAAATACAGTCTGTTTCAGAAACAAATGAAAACAGAACATATAAATAGATAGAAGAGAACGTCGGGCCTGCGGACGCCTGCAGGACTACCTCGGGATCTCCGTGGACTGAAGGCTGGCTCCCCAAGTGCTACTGTCCCAGTGCTACTCCGGTATCTGCACAGAATGCAGAATGTAGCATCAGTACAACTGACCCTATGTGCTGGTAAGTGTCTGGCCTAACCCCGGCGAGGTAGTGACGAGGCTAGGACCAGACTCCAGATAAACCTGTGCAATTATCTAATATACGGCGGAAAATAAACATGAATAAGCAGTTTAAATGGGAGGAGGGTACATGCTTCGGGGAACATATCAAATCCAGTAGAAACTTAAGAGAAATATGAAAGGATAGTTCAAAATCTACAATACAACAATAATAATACTGTTGCGGCGCGCAACCTGATCCCTTATCATTTAACATTGTTGCGACGTGCAACCTGATCCATCTATAAACCGATCCAATATAATATTTGTTGCGGCGTGCAAACCGACTAATATGATATTTGTTGCTGCGTACAACCCGATCAAACATAATATTGGTGCGGCGTGCAACCCGATCCATATATAATAATGTTGCGGCATGCAACCCGATCCATATATAATAATAATAATACTGCGGCGCGCAACCCATTCCAAATATACTGTCAACAATAATCATAACAACAGTCCCGACAAGGGATCACTAACGAACCACACTATCCCGGTAAGAGAATCGACAACATAAATAAGTACGTCCCGGCAAGGGAGAAACAGCTATAACCAAATCTTCATCCAACATCTAACCATTTCAGATATTACTAATACTCAACTTAGTAATTTCCACGAAAACAAACTCAATCCTTACTCAATATCGAGAATCATCAATTAAAGCATCTGTAATATTATTTAAGAACACAACAAGTTGCAATTTAAGACTCACGGTCATGCTCGACACCAACGTATAGATACTCGTCACCATGCCTATACGTCGTACTCAACAAGAAGCAAATAGCAAATAGGACTCAACTCCTAATCCCTCAAGCTAAGGTTAGATCGAAGACTTACCTCTAACTTTCACGGCCAACTCAAGCCTCAAACACCTCATTTCCTTTCGAATTTGGTCCAAATCAAATTGTATCTATACATAGTCGACTTCATAATATCAATAATTGCTAAACAATCCAATTTCAATACTTAATTATAGCTTTCTAATCATTCTTCCCAAAAAGTCAAAAATTGACCGCGGGCCCGCTTTGTCAAAACACGAGGTCGGACCAAAACCTGATCACTCATTCACCCACAAGCCCGAATATATAATTTGTTTTGAAATTCGACCCCAAAATGAGGTCAAATTCCCAAATAATCAAAAAACCCTAACTCTACCCAAATCCCTAATTTTCTACCCTTAATCACATGTTTTAGGCCTAGAAATCTAGTGGGTGTTGATAAAAATGAAAGAAAACAAGTTGAAGATTACATAACCAAGAGGTTATGGTGAAGAAGTTCTTCAAAAATCGCCCAAGATGTGTGGAGAAGATGAAGTTTGTGAAAAATAATGAAAATCCCGTAATGTTTTCTGTTTTTGGAACTTAAAATAACTCGGCAAAATTACTTATCGCGTTCGCGACAGGTCCATCGCGTTCGCGACAGACGGCTCGCGTTCACGGAGAAGTGACCCCTCGAGCCTTCGCGTTCGCGTCCATGTGGTCGCGTTCACGTAGGTTTAATGTCCCACCCCTGCCCAGGCTCAATTAGCCTTTGCGTTCGCGAAAGAAAGACCCCCCAACGCCTCGCGTTCGTGACCTGGGTTACGCGTTCACATAGAAGGAATTTCCTTCAACATAATTAACTTATCGCGTTCGCGAGGGTCGTCCCGCGAACGCGAAGAAGGAAATATCAGAATACCAACAGCTGAAAACCTGCAACTTTTTAAGAGATTAAAACCTTCTGAAACTCACCCGAGCCCTTGAGGCTCCAAACCAAACATACGTACTAACCCAAAAATACCATATGAACTTATCCGTGCGATCAAATCGCCAAATTAACATCATTAACATCTAATTAAATCTCAAAATCAATGAATTATTTCAAACTTCTTAAAACCTCAAATTTTGCAATTTAGGTCCGAATCACGTCAAATGACATCCGTTTCTTACCAAACTTCACAGAGTTATCTTAAATCACATATAAGACCTGTACCAGGTACCGGAACCAAAATACGGGCCCGATACCAACAGGTTCTAATCAAAATTCATTTTAAATTCCTTTAAACAATTTCAGAAAACAATTTTCTTTAAAAATTTATTTCTCGGGCTTGGGACCTCGAAATTCGATTCCGGGCATATTTCCAAGTCCCGTATTTTCCTACGGAGCCTCCAGGACCGTCAAATTATGGGTCCGGGTCCATTTACCCAAAACGTTGATGTCGCACCTCCTTTTTGCGCGCCTGCCCCGAAGGGTTAAATGCGCGGGTGGAGTTTTTCCAATTTAAGTGACAATATTCGAAATGGGATTATTTATTTAATTCAGAGTCGCCACTTGGGAAAGGTTTGGCTTTTGGTGTCCCAAGTCACCGGTTTATCTTGAATCCCAAATCGAGGAAATTTTCGACTTTTCCAAATGAAGTCTGCGAACCAGAAATTCTAAGTAAGGAATTCTGTTGACCCGAGGGAAGGTGTTAGGCACCCTCGAATCCCGTGGTTCTAGCACGGTCGCTTAAATTGTTATAATG